GAAGACAAACAAGGTGCTCTGGAAGCAACTGAGTTTGTTCATGTGCAGGTGAATAAGTATTGCTTTAGACCTTTACCAAAGAAACAGTTCAAATTCTCATCATGTGTACACCTGCACTATCTCTATGAAGTCCTTTAATGCTGGTGTAAATCCATACATTTGCCATAAGTGAACTCTCTCCTGACAATAGTCATTAATCCATATGGCAGAAGAAAACAAGAAAAAAATAAAAATAAAAAAAAAGCCTGAATCTGTCAATACTTGATTTACTGGCTTTTATTTGCCAAAGTATGTCTCGAATGGGGTATAGAAAAAGTATCCATATGCAAACAGCAGTGCCTCCAAGACACTCTCCCAAGCCCAGCATAACATTCTTCCATGGCTCTAATTTTCTTGTTTTCTAAAAATGCCTGCAAACCCCGCAGCTTATGAGGCAATTCCGTTCCAATTAGATTAAAAAAAAAAAAGAGAGAGACGATTTCTGGGGACCACTCTTAACTCCAGAATCTCTAGCTCAATAGCCCTATTCAACCTGTTCTGCTCACTGCTCAGTCCCAATTACAATGAAAGCATTTAATTTCCTCTTTGATTTCCTTTCAACAACAGATTGCAACTTGTGACACTTCAAGTAATTTTGGTCGCTCATTTAACACACACTGAAACCTGAATATCTGCTGATTATGTTCCCAAGCTCTGGCTCATTGCAATGAAGAATGGGGAAAGGAGAGGCAATCTCTAGAGATTGAGAATCCAAACATGATTACTGCTGGCTGAAAACTTGTTTTCTCTCTTCAGTCTTGGGGTACAGCTAGAGTCTTTCATGAATGATTAATGTACTAAAGGCTGATCAATGGAACTCTGTCCTAAATACATCTATAACCAGTTCAGGTGGAGAATGAAGAAGTCTATCCAGCTGGTATCTTCTAATTTACAACTCTTGTAGTGAAATCGAGTAATTCATCTCATTTACTATGTCTAGTTTCTCAAGTACCTGAGCTGCATAAACTTTTTTTTCCACTTCCCCATTTTCCATTTAGCATTAAAGTTACTATGTGATGGGATGACCTGCAATAACCTTATTCTAACTGAGAACACTACTCCATGAGTAATCCCATTGAATCTCAGAAATGAAAATCCAGGATTATAACCATTACTATTGTTCACAACTGAGTGTAGCTCAACTTATCAGCAGCATATTAGGCACCTAAAGATCTTTAAATTGTCAGCAGTATCAAAGTACAAACTAATTCTTGGCCCTAATTTCTGTAAGCAGTAAAGTTACTCACTTCCAGAAATAAACAAGAATATATAGCATATGCTTAACTTCTTTCTTGATGAATGATGAGTTGTCCTCGCTGAGGTTTTTAGCAACGTAGAAGAAAATGCAAAATAAATTGCACAATCAAAAGCAAGCTATTAAAAATAGTGGTGCAGGCAATAAATTATATAGCAAGTTTTGCTTACATAAATGATAAACTCTTTTGCTTACATTGTTATGTAGATAATACCAGCCTATTAGAAGCATAATAAATCACAGAAAGCTGTTTCCATAGTGCAGGATTTCTCAAACTATGGGTCATGACCCCTCCCCTGGCAATTCATGGCAAGGTTTGAGTGGGGTCACGAAGAACCTGTTAGCAGGAATTGAGGGCAAATACTTCCCTTTAAGTTAAGCAGCCCAATCCTCTAACAGGGCATGTAGAGAACAGGCAGTAATTAGTGACTGCAAGTATTTATACATGCTAGGGAACTGCTAACTACCTTTAATTACAACAGCTCGCTTTCTCTAGGAGAGGACAGCAATGTAGTTTAGAATTAAAATTGCCAGGTACTTGCTAACTGCCTCTCACTGAAGGCAATAGATCTATTTCTCCAGGGCCTTAACCACTTGCAACTCAGTCTCTTATCTCCATCGTGTAGAAATAGGGTTGTTAGCAGCCCAGGGGGTCATTCAAATATATGACCAAGTATGTCTGCATTTTCTAACACTATGAGAAAGACATCAATAGCTTCATATATAGAATGTGCCACCATCAAGTAAAGAGTGAGTTGCTCTATACAATTTGCAGTGCATCCTAAGTGAAGAAGGTCATATATTAAAGGATTACTAAAGAGAAGTCAGCTGAAAAACAGAACAATGCCACTGAAAAGTACTGGTACCTTTCTCTCTGCTGCCCTGTCTCTCATGTGGCTGCATTTTCTCGCTCAGAAAGAATCACCTTCTCAAAATTGTCAACTCCTGGACATAACAAGATTGAAACTAAAGACTGGTACCTGAGGTTGCAGTCCGGTACCACATGGGCTAGCACAGTTGAGCACTCTGAAGCAAATTAAGACAAGAGAGCAATCTTGTCAGCTTTCATCTAGAAAGGAAAAAAAGTATTCAGAGCTTCTCTCTCTCTCAAAATAAGGGATTTTAAGGAAATAAAATAGCACCCCACACATCACTGTGGGAGTTTTTTAGCATCATCAAAGCCCACATTCTTTCTTCAGGTCTCTGTGAGGTCCATGAGGATAGGGGCTACAGACCAGTGTGTCTCCTTCTGTTCCTTTTAGCTACCACAGCAACCATATTCCTTGGCCCTTGAGGTCTCCACACCTCCTCAGAAAGGAGTGAGAGGTGTCAGGTGCAAGTGAACCCCTTGGTGGACATGCTTTTTTCTTATCAGGGAGGCATTCTGTTGTATGCTGCTCCTACCAACCCATGGGGTGAACATATCCACCATCCCAGGCCTCTGCTGTGACAGCCAGCACATGAGGAAATAGCTTGGAAAGGGGATTCACATTGCAGATAACACGGCATTGTGACTTTTCATAAAGAAAATATTTTCTTTCAAGTGGATCAGTTTTCTAACCAGTTTCCTTGCACAACCACCTGAGAACTCAAGGCAGTCTGGACCAAAAGTAGGAAATGTTAAAGGTGACTTTAAACTACACCGCCACGTAGTGGCTGCCTGTGAGCAAAAGACTTGTGCCAGCTGCTGATGGGGAGAAGAAGGAGAGGCGACTCAGTTATTATACAGATTACTTGGTCATGGAACGGGCAATCGTAGTGAAGGGAGGCTCCTGAGCTTGGCAGCCAAAAGCATAACATGGTGCAGGGGTCACCACTGGAAGCTGGAAGACTTCAAATTCAAACAGAACATAGCTTCCTCCTAGTGAGGGTCATCGGGTGTGGGAAAGGATGAACTTACATTGACTTGGGTTAGTTGGGAAGAGATTAAACCGTAAGACACTCTTAAATATAAGGTTTCAATCTCTTCTGCTTTTGTACACAAAAAGTCAGATGCAATTCTTATAATGAATCCTCCTCAGAGGCAAGATGCCAACCGAGAGGAATGGAAAGTGGTTGCTCTCCTTAAAATGTCCTGTATTGCATAGACTGAATGACGGGTAGACTTATATCTAAAGAGCATGCAGATAAGATGATTTACTGGAGACAGTAAAAAATACCACAGTCCTCCTATTATTTTTGTTTGCACTAAATATGTTCATGCCATGGGGACATTGCACTGAGCTGGAGGGAACCTGTCCAATCTGTTCTATGGGCTTTCTGAGCAGTGCAAAAAGTTGATGCTAAGGTCAAAAGCCTCCTGCCAGCCACACCAGACACAGAGGGTAAAGCATAGCCCACATCTCCTGACAATTTGCTGTGTGAGACATGGCAAACAACAATTCCCCGAGGATCCCAGCAGGCACAAGTCATTCCAGGATGTTCCTTCAGGCAGAAATCCTGCTTCCAAAACTAAATTGAAACCTTTCCCAAAGGACTTCTGCGCTCTTGTCAGATCTGTAGCCTGTCCCCACCCAGGGAATCTTTTTACACCTTTCTGAGAAGTGCTCCTCACTTCAACAAGCTATGTTTTACCAAGCTTTTTCTGTTTTTTCCTGCCAGTAGCATTTTTATTAGCCAGAAAGATTAGTTTCATGCTCTCCAGCACGGACAGCAATGCCTACCAGCCACGTGACTTGTATATATTGATACGGATACAGGCAAGCCACTCTGCAGCCCAAGAGGTCACAGAGAGCAGTCTGAAACACATCCACCTGGCAGCCGCAAAGAGAAAATTCCCTTTTCACTCTCGGTCCCTTGCCTCTCCACCAGGTTACCCGGTGTCCCTTCTGAGCACACTAAGGGCAGGTACAGATGCCAAGGGCATTCTTGAGGCACATGCAAGCAGCATGGAGGCTTTAAAGCAGATTTTCAATCCGTAATGACTTTGATCTTTGCTTAGCAGCCAATTGCTGCGCTGAAGCCACGAATCACACCACTCAAAATGATTCAAGGAGGGAAAGAATAATAATAACAAAGCGGCGAACTAGCTCAGGGATAGGCTTGGGGGTCCTTTTAAACTTGAGAGGTGATGATTCCTCTTCCCAGGACTGCTGGTTAACACAAGGACCAGCACCATGCTTCCCTCCCCCTGCAGCCAAAGAGTAGCACTAGGCAAAATCCGAGGAGCAAACCAGCAACAGGTCAACCCTGCCCTGTGTAGTCAAAGGCTGCCAGCAGATTAACATGGAAGCACTCACGGAAAGTCTGCAGCAGCTCTGGCAGGCTTGGCTAAATTTATAATTATAGCTACAGGCTTCATCGCAAAAGGAACCAAATATGTGATGTTTGTTTCTGAGGAAGAATGGGAGGAGACTAATGGTAAAGGAGAGGGAGTGGGAGTGCGGAAGCGGGGAAAGGGGAAGGAAGAGAGCTGAGCCCTGCAGAGTTTTCAGAGACCTGCAGAAAATCATCTAAGGAGAGCAGTTCAGACCTGAAATACTGTGCAGTGCTTTGACAATCTTCTGGTTTATGGCATACTTAACAAAGTGTTTTTACATTTACTAGGCTGGAATGTCTATTTTACTATAGACTCTCTGCTCTGTCGCTAGTAGTTTAAAATTTGGACACGTGACAAAAATGTGTGTAACGCATTTTTTAAAGTGTTGATTGTGCTCGTAATTTTAAAGTCAGAATATAAAATAAACATCTCTGCCCTTTCTTCCAGCAGGCAGCACAGAGATCTGCTCTCCGCGTTCTATCTGACAGGTACATTTTGTCATTTTTATGAACTATAAATTGCTTTATGAAACGTTGAGCCCTATTTATTGTGGCATATAACTCATAATCGGATTTTGTCCCCAAAGTATCTGTGAACTGGGATGTTAAACATTTTGCATGCTTGGATTTGTCATGCATGTGTAGAGTTTATTACTGCAAAAATCACAGTCTTGTTGTATTTCATACAGAGTATGCAGAATCCCTTGTTGTGATACCAAATGAGAGATAAGAAACTTACTGGCGAAGGCATGAATGATGCAGTAAATTCTGGGCTTTAGAGCTTGCTGAGATATATCTAAGCTCATTTTTCAGCAATAAGTACTTCATTTATTTTGAGATGTTCTCCTTTGACTTTTTCCAAATTCTTTCCCTGGGAATTACTCTTCTTTTGATGAGATCCTCTATACATTTTATGCACAAAAACAATGTTTTTCTTTGCTCCTAAAGTTTTGAGGGATTGCTGTTTTTGAGGAATTTAATTCATTTTTTTCCTTCATCTGGAATGGCAGCGGTGCTTCACGCAGATAAGCAAGGGACCAAATCCTTAGACAATAGTCAGGTTTTACTCAGCTCTTTTTTTCAGGCAAAATGCCATTAACTTCAGGGGGAAACTTGCCTGAGTGAGGAATTTAGGATTTGGGCCACCATAAATGTTATAGTTGGGCCATAGGTCCATGCAGGTATTTACCTTAAATGACTTTTATGAAAGAGGATTGATTGAAATAGAAGGTAGCTTTCTAAAGCAGCCCTGATTTCTTTCCCAGTTTGGGGGGTGGGAGGGAGGAGGGAAGGACTGTGCGTTTTAGTGCCTGTGAGAGCGAGCGAGCAGATTTACATTTATCCACAAATGAGGTACTGTGTCATGCCGGCTGACACGGAGTAAATTTCCCCCTGCCTTGTTGGCAGCCCCCTCGGCCGCGCCTGGCCCCCCGCCCCCCGCCTCCCTGGGAATAAGCAGTAATTGACTCTCCAAGGCGGCTCGGGCCAGGATTTCGCCAGAGCAAAGCCTGTCACTTAGGCTGAATTATATGTTGTGCATGGATGAATAACATTTCTCTCCGGTCTGAGGCTGAGACCGCCAAAATTATCAGCCTCCTTCCTCCCGCTCCAGTTTAGAAACACAGTTTTGTTTAGATTTTTTTCTTTTTTCTCTGGTGAGGAGGAGATTTCCTGAGTGAGATGTGTGAGAGCTGGGTGAAGTCACTGTCTCAGTTGTAGGACACGCGAGGATTCGCCGTAATTGCCACGAGAAGGAAGAAGCAGAGCAGCACCGCGCTGCTCTGCCCGCATGCGTGCACACTATCCCAGGCAGCTTTTGCTTTTGGTAGGAACACTACTGTGCCTGGAGAATATGACTTTTCTCACCATCAGTGAGAACAAGCTAAACAAGGAACATTCCTGCAGAGCTGACCCTCGAGTGAGAGGGGTTAATGAGCCTAAAACCCCGTGTGGCACTTTCCCCTTCTCCTAAAAGACAGGTTCTCCCTCACAGGTGGCCCAAAGACTGAGGGTCCAAAGTGCACAGAGTTGCCCTTCACACTTCGGGCTTATTATTTATGGTCAGGTTTCCTCTGCCTCCCCTGTTCCCCTCCTGAAAGCGCCTCTGGAGACTCAAGATTTCCCACCTGCTCTGCAAACGTTTGTGGGTCAGGCCACCTTCCTCTGCTCTTTCTAGACTAAGCACCGAAAAACTGTGAGCGCACCCCAGGGGAAATGATCCGCACCTCCCAAAATTTAACTATATTGAGCAAACAGGAGGACAAGGGGCTTTGAACAGCTGTTTCTGTCTAATCCTGGCTAAAGCGTGGATGCATGTGATATTGCCCCTCACTCCGTGTCTCCCAGGAGCAACTAAGGACTCCTGGTCACATACTTCTCATTGTCCAAAGATAGTCCCTTTTGCCTTGAGGAGACAATTTAAATCAACCTCTTCATTATTTCATCTGCTCTTCTTTTTTGAAAATATTCTACAAGTATTTCTGTTTCAGCTTTCAGATCCTCTAAAAATATATATATAATAGTTTAGCTAAATAAGAAAAGGAAAAAAAAAGGAGAGTTTTTAAACCTGTAGCCATTGATTTCTGCAGTATATTGCACTCAGTCTTGTTTTCAGCATGGCACAGTAACCCCCAGCAGATTTATGTGCAAACACAAAGATTAGTGACCCAGAAGCTTGACTGAAACAGCTTTTCTACTTCCAGAAGACAGGTTGCTCTGCACATGCACTGACTATTTTGCAGGAGTCTCTGTCAAGAAAGATGCACTGGCCCCATTAGCTTTTCATTCTCTCATGAAATCCTCAGTGTTTATACTGCACAGCTTGGCTTTAATTTTATTATGCTCTTCAGTAAAGTGGTTCGACTGTACAGAGCATTCAGTTTCTGGGACAGTAAAGAACATGAACTTAACTCATATACCTTAATGGCAGAGTGCTCCAGAATATCTTTGACCATCTGATTCTTATATTCGCTGTCTGAATAGCTTTCAGGTTAAGAAAAATGCCTATTTCTAAAATATTCAGTGTGTTCTGTTATTATTTAACAGTAAGTAGCGTGGTTAAGCCAGGTCTTAAACCTGCTTGGTCCCACTGAGCTAAATAGATTTTACTATTGACTCCATCAGTCCCAGAACTCTGACCTTATTGCTGGATTTAAAAGCTGTTTTCTTTTGCAGTGTGTTCCACTAACCCAAAAGCATTTGCTTTGTGGACACTTTTGCAATGGAGAATGTCCAGCTGTAAATTACAGATGTTTGCAATCATACCCAAACACAACGCTCATTATTATTCTTTTGTTCTTTTTAGGCTGAAAAGCCCACCATAAGGGAGACCTTGCAATACTTAATCCACACATTAAACTTGCTTGCAGCTCATATTCATGTGCAAGATAAGATTTTCCATGAAGTAAGGATTTACAGTATCCTAGGGCATTTTATTCCCATAGCTACTTTTATTTCTCCGTGCTATAGTGTAGGCCAAGTAAGTCTGAGAATGTTGAATGCTTAAGGAAAGCCTGACACCACCTCTGAATTTCCTCTTTCATTGCAACAGCGAAAAGATAGTTTATTCACTGGGGTGCTTAGGCGAGACTTCCGAGACATGCTTAGTTCACTGTTTGGATCTGTTATCCTTTTTGCGCACTCATCCTGGAGGATGCAGACAGACCTTATTAGCTCTGCGTGTGCTAACCTCAGCAAGGAGTGCAGGCCAGGGAGACTGAGAGTGCTCGAGTGGCAGAGTGAGCCCATTCAGCCTAGTAGCCATATGGCCGTGCTGGCAAGCCTTCCCATCTCAGCCGATAAGTCTTGTAAAGAGTCCAACTTACTAGCTTATGCTCAGCACCTGGTTAATATAAATATGGTTCATCCAGATCTGAACTGTTAAGCGCAGGCTATGATAGGGTTATTTGATTTTCCACCTCAGGCTGTTGATAGACCAGGGGTCTCAACACTAATCTCCGTTTTGCAATGTAGACAAGCCTCGTGCGTGACATCTGGTGAACTACACAGCCTGTCTGAGCTCCTGTCAAGCAGAAGGAGTGGGACTATGTATTTCTATGTAGCTGAGGCTTGTTATTCCATATCTAATCATAGTTAGGACATCAAAATGCAGGGTGTGCCAAGCATGAGCTGGTTTACCCTAAAGGATGGTTCAGCTCAGGTGAGCTTTATACAAGATCCTGAGAAGGGACAAAGTTGTTCAGTGTCAGGTATTAATATCAGGAACTGTGCGGCGGGTCATGACACACACTGGTGCCATGGGGTGGTCTGAAAGCAGAAGTGCTGCAGATCCTGCTCTCTTGTGCATCCTAAGCACGGTAGCACCCAGCTGTGATGAGCTGTGAGGGATAGTGAGGGACAACCCCGGTCCTTCCCGCTGATACTGCAAGCAGCCATGGAGTGGTGATCAACCCAATGAGACTGTAGCATGGCTGTTTGTTTGCCTGTAAACTATGCCATGCTGAGGTGGACTGTTTGTGTTAGTAAGCCTTGGGAGGGGCTGTCTGTGAAGGATTAAGGCAACAATAGGCAGCAGTTTAAACTTTTAATAGGTCAGGAAAACAGGGAATGCAGCTATCCAAGCAGTCTTAAAACTTGTGGACATAGCCAAAGATTTCTTGTTCTCAAGTATCTACTTGAGCTGTGATCAAGCAACGCATTTAAACTTGTGATACTCTAAAGTAAGCAAATAGTCCAGTGGCAGCCAGCAGAAATACTCATGTGCTTCATGTCACCCACATATTTATGTTTGTGTTGGACTGAGTTTTTGATAACATCGCCTTTCACACTGTGAGAGTCCTCCACATGGGAAGCTACGTGGTCAGCTTATCAGCAGAGTGACTCAGCTTGCTGGTCGGCAGGAAAGACTTAGTGTGACAGGTCTGTGTAATCAGTAACAGCCAAGGGGAAGCCTTGGCTTGTGAGGGTTGATCTGGCTCCCAGAAGAAAATGAAGGAACTGAGATCATGGGCTCCACAGGATGCAAAGGCTGGCTGGAGACCAAGGTGCACACACCGTGTTCTTTGTCACCGAGACAAATGCACGATTCTAGCAGTTATTAGTATATTGATTATGCTTCCCAGATTACCTCTGCAAGAAAAAAAAAAGAGAGAGAGAGAGAGAACACTTCTTTCAGGAAATACAGATTTACAGTTTGTTCCCTAGTTGAAAGCTTGCCTGGTGTTTGGAATCACTGGTGTCCCACAGTCACAGACCTCCCACATGCTGCAGGGTAGCAAAGGCGACTGCTGTTACATCTTGTGGCAGAAATGATCTGGGGTACTCATTTCTCAGCCCTCCTAGTTGCAAAACTTAAAGGAATAAGAATAACGATATGCATTATATATAGGATACTATTTCTACTATAAGAAAGCTTCCTGTTGTGCACTAGAGAAAAAGGGCTTTGAAAGAAAAACTTGTGGGGAAGGTTTGGAGTGAAAAGGAATGGATATCTCTGCAAAACTGGGGCTCTATTTCTCTTCATTTATCTT